TGAGGCAGGAGAATTGCCTGAACCCAGGAGGTGGAGGTTGCGGTGAGCCGAGATTGCGCCATTGCACTCCAGCCTGGGTAACATGAGGAAAACTCCGTCTCTCAAAAAAAAAAACAAAAAACTGAGTTCCTCATGGTCTGAAGAAAAAAAAAATTGAACAATCACAATTTAAAAAAAAAAAAAAAAAAAAAAAAGAGTGCTTTCAGCCACATGTAGTGAAATTCTAACAGTGGCCCTTAGTTCTCAACCTTTAGTGTCATAGTTACTGAAAATACATTATTTTGGCCGGGCACGGTGGGTCACACCTGTCATCTCAGCACTTTGGGAGGCCAAGGTGGGCAGATCACCTAAGGTCAGAAGTTCGAGACCAGCCTGGCCAACATGGCAAAACCCTGTCTCTACAAAAAATACAAAATCTAGCCGAGTGTGGTGGCGAATGCCTGTAGACCCAGCTACCCGGGAGGCTGAGGTGGGGGAATTGCTTGAACCGTCTTCAGCCCATTCCTTGAGAGTTCGGAAGGTCTAGGATAGGACCTAACTTTTTTCAATTTTAACACTGCAGGGTAGCGATGATGCGGGCACATGAGGTACAACACTTTTAGTAGCACGGACTAAAGCAAAAAGGACACGTGGTTATCTCATGTAGTAAGTCTTAGATGTAGATAGTTCCAAGTTTGGTATAGAGGTTGAATATTATTGTCAAGCACCCAGACTTTGTCTTTCTCTTCTGATCTTCTCAGTATGTTGAGTTCTGGCCCTTAGCTTTGTTGCCTCTTAGTTGTGAAGTTGTGACTGTCTTCAGAGTGAGAGAATACTTACCAAAGCAGGCTAAGAAAATCTTTCCAGAAGGATATCTGGAAAAATCTTACTAGAAGCATAAAATAGAAAGCTCCACCCTTTATCTTTACATGTTACTGACTAGACCTTGGCTTACGTAACCACCCAGAGCTGTAGTGGGGGCTGAGAAAGAGTGTCTTCCTTTGTGTTTAAGTCTCAGAAGAGACAGGCTGGCAGGAGGGAAGGAGGAGGGAATAGCTTGGTAGCCAGCTGAGCTGCAGCTTGTGCTGCAATAGCCAGTACACGATGGGACCAAGATTCACACCTCGCTCCCTGGTTTCAAAGTTCTCGTGCTTTCTCTGTTGAAGTAATTTACTTTGACTCCTTTGTATCCCCTAGCTAGTTCTTTTTTATTTGTCATGTCTGGCAGTGGGGTTTTGTTTATTTGTGGTTTTTTTCTTTAATTTTTTGAGATGAAGTTTTGCTCTTATTGCCCAGACAGGAGTGCAGTGGAGCCATCTCAGCTCCCTGCAACCTCCCTCTCCTGGGTTCAGGCCATTCTCCTGCTTTAGCCTCCTGAGTAGCTGAGATTGCAGGTGCCTGCCACCACATCCAGCTAATTTTTGTATATTTAGTAGAGACAGGATTTCATTATGTTGACCGGGTTGGTCTTGAACTCCTGACCTCAGCTGGTCCACCCGCCTCAGCCTCCCAAAGTGCTAGGATTACAGGCATGAGCCACCATGCCTGGCCTCTATTTTTTTTTTTTTTGGGAGGGGGTGGACAGGGTCTCACTGTGTGTCTCAGGCTGGAGTGCAGTGATGCAATATAGCTCACTGCAGCCTCAACCTCCCAGGCTCAAGCAGTCCTCCAACCTCAGCCTCCTGAGTAGCTGGGACTGTAGGCACTCACCACCATACCTAGCTAAGTTAGTTAGTTATTTATTTTTTGAGATGAAGTTTTGCTCTATTGCCCAGGTTGGAGTGCAGTGGTGTGATCTCAGTTCGCTGTAATCTCCACCTCCCAGGTTCAACTGATTCTCTTGCCTTAGCCTCCCGAGTAGCTGGGACTGCAGGTGTGTGTCACCATGCCTGGCTAATTTTTTGTATTTTTAGTATAGACGGGGTTTCACCGAGTTAGCCAGGATGGTCTCAAACTCCTGAGCTCGTGTGATCCTCCCACCTTGGGCTTACGAAATGCTGAGATTACAGGTATGAATCACCGTGGCTGGCCACTAGTGGGTTCTCATCACATACTTGATATCAGTCAGTGTCCTGGCAGGAAACAGATGGCATACTCAAATGTAATTGAATTGAGTTTAACAAAGGGGCTGTTGACAGCAGACAGCAGTCTGATCAGGGTCAAGGAAAACTTAACAAGGAGAGATTAAGTACCTCATACCTATCAGCAATTAGGGGAGACTTCATCATTTAAAAAAAAAATTTCCTGGCAACTTTCATTTAAGACTTTATCATTTCTAAACCCAAAGGAAACAGAGGGAAGAAGTGGGTGCAGGAACTAGAACAGAGTGGCCGTTGTTGTTGAAGAGTATTTGGGTAGTGAGAGAAAACTGTAACCAATCTTCTAAGGGAGGCATTTGGGAATAAACACCCCAGTGACACTTTACTTCCATCTTCTGGTTTTCTGCTGATGCTCCTGTGAACTGAACTCGCCAGAATCTAGATGGCAATGGGAGTCTTGGTGGAGGCTGTAAAGGTCAGCCTGTGTAAGCATAGAGCCAGGTAGAGAAGGATGGAAATAGATTTGAAGTGGCAAAACCAAAATATTTTGCATATATCTGCAAGGTGAAAGAAGAAATGTTTGAAGAAAGATGGGCTGAGTGGCTCCTGCCTGTAATCCCAGTACTTTGGGAGGCTGAGGCGAGAGGATGGGTTGAAGCTAGGAGTTACAGACCAGCCCGCGCAACATAGGTAGACCTTGTTTCTACAGAAAATAACAAAAATTGGCTGTACATGGTAATGCATGTTTGTAATCTCAGCTACTTAGAAGACTGAGACAGGAGGATCACTTGAACCCATGAGTTCAAGGCTACAGTGAGCTATGATCGCACCACTGTACTCCAGCATGGGCAACATAGCAAAAAAAAGATTGAGGAAAGGAAAGAGATATTGAGGAGGTATATATGTCCATAAACATGAAAATATGTTTGAACTCATCAGTAATGCAGGAAATCTAATCAAAACCATAGTGAGATAATATATACACATCAGATTAATAAAGAAGAATTTATTGCCAAGTTTTAACAGGAATATGGAATTGCTCATAGTGTAAATAGCACATCTGTTTTGGTAAACACTTGGCATTGCTGAATACTATTGGATATTATACATATCCTTTGACTAAGTATTTTTTCCTTGAGTATTTACCCTCTTAATTTTGCCTCAAGAGATTTGTATATTAATAGAATTGTTCATAGTAGTCCAATGAGGAGATAACCCAAGTAGCCATCAGTAGGTGAATGGATAAACAAATTATTAAGCCATAGAATATAGCAGAAAAAATATGAACTTGAAAGAAGTCACAGAAGAATACAGTATGGATCCATTTCTAGAAGACTTAAAGCAGGCAAAACTAAATAACTTAGAATGTTTGTTACCACTGTCGGGAGGAGAGGGTTGTTTCCCCCTGAGCGTGACTTACTGGGAGATTCTGAGGTACTACTAATATTCTTTTTGTTTTTCAGACAGGGTCTGGCTCTGTTGCATAAACTGGAGTGCAGTGGTATGACCTTGGCTCACTGCAACCTCCGCTTCCCAGGCTCAAGCCATCCTCCTACTTCAGTCTCCCAAGTAGCTGGGACTGTAGCTACAATGCCTGGCTAATTGTATTTTTTTCCCCCTCATCCTACAGTCCAAAGGCAGTGGTTAATTTTTGTATTTTTTGTAGAGACTGGGTTTTGCCATGTTGCCAAGGCTGGTCTTGAACTCCTGAGCTCAAGCGATCCTCCTACTTTGGCCTCCCAAAGTGTTGGGATTATAGGCATGAACCACTGGGCCTGGCCACTATTAATGTTAAGTACTTTAACCTGTATGGTGGGTACACAGGTATTCATTATTTATCAACACATTTTGCACTCTTAAGTGTGATACAAAATAAAAAGTAGATGTGATGGTCATTGGAAGGGTGCCACAGACATTGTCTCAGGCTCCATGTAGAGGTGTTTATCCCATATATTTATTGATGACCTGCTATGTAGAGAGCATCTTTTGGGTGCTGGAAAAAACTGAACAAACTTCGCAGTTGTTTTTTGGGTGTTTAACATTGGATGAGAACTATGAAGGAAAAGTCCAGAGTATTTATTAAAATTTATGATCAGGGGAATCTAGGTTAGAACCAGAATTGGTGCTGATCTAGTAAAGCTCCTCTGAGGAAGCAACAGTTTTTCTTTTTTTTGAGTTGGGGTCTCACTCTGTCACCCAGTGCAATGACGTGGTCTCAACTCACTGCAACCTCTGCCCCAGGGTTCAAGCGGTTCTCCCGTCACAGCCTCCCGAGTAGCAGGGACTATAAGTGGGTGCCACCACACCCGGCTAATTTTTGTATTTTTAGTAGAGACATGGTTTCACTGTGTTGGCCAGGCTGGCCTTGAACTCCTGCACCTCGTGATCCACCTGCCTTGATCTCCCAAAGTGCTGGGGTTACAGGCATGAGCTATTGCTCCCAGCTGAGGAAGCAACATTTAAGGTGAAACCTAAATGTTTAGTAGGATATATCTCTGGGAGAAGGGGGCATGGAGTATTTCAGGGAAAGAGAACTGGGTGTGTGAAGGCCCTTAAGCAAAAGGGAACTTGGATGGTCAGGAACAGGACTTCTCAATGTTGACATTACAGACTTTAAGCAAGATGATTCTAGTGAGGGCTGTCCTGTGCATTGTTGGTTGGGTATTTAGCAGCATACCTGGCCTCTACCCACTACATGCCAGTAGCACCCTCTCAGTTGTGAAAATCACATTGCCATATGTCTTGGGGAAAGGAAAAGAGGAATGACAAAATTACTTCTGTCCTGTATTTGGAAAACCATTGTGCTGGGAGAACAGAGAAGAAAATCCATGTGGCTAGACTATATAATGAGGGAGGATGGTGGGAAGGGTAGTATCAGGTGGCCAAGGGCTAGATCTTGTATGGGGTCTCAAAGGTTAGGTCATGGTTTGAACTCTGTTGTTTTTGTTTTGTCATAAGGCTTACTTTGCAAAAATGGTTTGAACTCTTTTCTGAGATAGAGTTTTGCTCTTGCTGCCCAGGCTGGAGTGAAATGGTGCAGTCTCAGCTCACTGCAACCTCCGCCTCCTGGGTTCAAACGATTCTCCTGCCTCAGCTTCCTGAGTAGCTGGGATTGCAGGTGCCCGCTACCATGCCCAGCTAATTTTTCTTTTTCTTTTTTTTTTTTTTAAATGGAGTTTCGCTCTTGTTGCCTAGGCTGGAATGCGATGGTGTGATCTCGGCTCACTTCAACCTTCACCTCCCGGATTCAAGCTATTCTCCAGCCTCAGCCTCCCAAGTAGCTGGGATTACAGGTGCCCGCCATCATGCCCGGCTAATTTTTGTATATTTAGTAGAGACAGGCTTTGCCGTGTTGGCCAGACTAGTCTCGTACTCCGGACCTCAGGTGATCCACTGGTCTCCCAAAGTACTGGGATTACAGGTGTGAGCCACCGTGCCTGGCCTATTTTTTGTATTTTAGTAGAGACGGGGTTTCTCCATGCCAGCCTATTTTTTGTATTTTTAGTAGACATGGGGTTTCTCCATGTTGGTGAGGCTGGTCTCGAACTGCCAACCTCAGATGATCCACTCACCTAGGCCTCCCAAAGTGCTGGAAGTACAGACATGAGCCACCGCGCCCAGCCTAATTTTTCAATTTTCAGTAGAGATGGAGTTTCACCACGTTGGCCAGGCTGGTCTTGAACTCCTGACTTAAGGTGCTGGGATTACAGGCATGAGCCACTGTACCCTGCCTGGTTTGAACTCTTTATGAGCATTGGAAAACTTTGTAGAGGTTTTTTTATTTTTATTTTGTGAGATAAGGTCTCACTCTGTTGCCAAGGCTTGAGTGAGGTGGTGCAATCATGACTCACTTTATCTTCCCACCCTCAAGTGATCCTCTTACCTCAGTCTCCCTAGTAGCTGGGGTCACTGGCATGCACCACCTCACCTGGCAAGTTTTTTTGTATTTTTTGTAGAGATGGGGTTTCACTATGTTGCCCAGGCTGGTCTTGAACTCCTGGGCTCAAGCAGTCCATCCAGCTTGGCCTCACAAAGTACTGGAACTACAGTCATGCCTGGCCATTGTTTTTGTTTTCTTTCTTTTTTTTGTTTTTGTTTTTGTTTTCTTAACAGTGTATTTTGAAGAGCAGTTTTTAGTTTTGTTGAGGCTGAATAGAAAAGCAAATTAACTTTTAATATATCTATAATTATATTAAACATAAGTAGTCTAAACATTTCAGTCAAAAGGTAGACATGGACTGCGTGTGGTGTGTGCCTGTAGTCCCAGCTACTTAAAATGCTGAGACAAGAGAATTGCTTGAACCCAGAAGTTCAAGGCCAGTGTCCGCAACAAAGCAAAATTTTGTTTCTTTAAAACAACAACAAAACTTTGGGAGGCTGAGGCGGGTAGATCATGAAGTCAGGAGTTCAAGACCAGCCTGGCCAAGATGGTGAAAGAAAAGTACAAAAATGAGCCAGGCATAGTGGCACATGCCTGTAGTCCCACCTACTCATGAGGCTGAGGCAGAAGAATGGCTTGAACCCAGCAGGTGGAGGTTGCAGTGAGCCGAGATCATGCCACTACACTTAAGCCTGGGTGACAGAGAGACTGTGTCTCAAAAAATAAATAGATAAAATGTAAGTTCTTGAACTGTATTTGCATATTTTAGGCTGGTACAGTGATTGCCCTTTGGGCTTGTATAATTGGCATAGTACATGAATCCCGAACTGAGATTGTGATCATTTCAGTTTCTAGGGTGCCATATTTCATCCTAGTAGTCTGAGAAATAAAGTTGGAAAAAACGCATTGTACTTAGATATTTACTGTTTCAATCACTTTTTGTTAGGTGAGGGGGTATGTATATTGGATGATATATTGTGAACTTTATCTTCAGATTTCTGGTTCTTATTTATTATCTCTGATTTTCTCTACTATCTCCTTTATAGGTTGGGAAGGAGAAAATGCTCAAGGTGAAGATTGTGAAGATTCATCCTTTGGAGAAAGTGGACGAAGAGGCCACTGAGAAGAAATCTGATGGTGCCTGTGATTCTCCATCAAGTGACAAAGAGAATTCCAGTCAGATTGCTCAGGATCATCAGAAGAAGGAGACAGTTGTAAAAGAGGATGAAGGAAGGAGAGAGAGTATTAGTATGTTTGACACTAGTTTTCCTTAGTGCTTTATGCAATGCTATATATTTCATTATGAACACATCTTTTAGGGTTCTCTAGCAACTAAATGTGTGATTGAGTTTTTATATAGACATGATTTTGTTCATTTATGATTCATAGAACAACTAAAATGTCTACAACATGAATCAAGGCTTAAATCTCCCTAAAGAATTAAGACCATTGGGAGGTCGTTTACTCTAGTTGCTTAGAAATCTGTGTGCAGGGCTGGGCGCAGTGGCTCATGCCTGTAATAGCACTTTGGGAGCCCAAGGAGGGTGGGTCATCTGAGGTCAAGAGTTCGAGACCAGTCTGGACAACATGGTGAAACCATGTCTGTACTAAAAATACATAAATTAGCTGGGCATGGTGGTGGGCACCTGTAATCCCAGCTACTTGGGAGTCTAAGGCAGGACAATCACTTGAACCCACGAGGCAGAGGTTGCAGTGAGCTGAGATCACACTATTGTACTCCAGCCTGGGCAACAAGAGCAAAACTCTTGTCTCCAAAAAAAAAAAAAAAATCTGTGTGCACGTTGCTAGCTACTCAAGATGGCGAGGAAAGTTTGCTTTCCTTTCGTCTTAAAAAGGAAATGTGTATGTATGTGTTGGTGGGTGATCAAGGTAGGAGGAGCAAATTACTCTAACACTTACTGCTCTTCAGCGTGTAAGCCAACGTGCTGGTTTTAGGTACGGCTGACCCTTGAATAACGTGGGTTTAAACTGCACAGGTCCACGTATGAATGGATTTTTTTTCTTGTTTTTTTTTTTAATGGCATTTGTCCGTTTCAAGATTTTTTCAATGAAAGTATTGGAAAATTCTTTGGAGGCTTGTGACAGTTTGAAGAAACTCAGAGACGAACTACGTAACCTAGAAATATTGAAAAAAAACCCAAAAAGTTAGGTATGTCATAAATGCATAAAATACATGTAGATACTAGTCTGTTTTATCATTTACTACCATAAAATAAATGTAGAAATCTATTATATAAAAAGTTAAAATTTATCAAAACTTACACCAACAGACCGTATATGACACCATTCTCAGTCAAGAGAAATGTGAAGATTCAGTATTAAATTATAACCAAATAAAATGAATTGCAGTATATACTGTACTACTGTAATCATTTCATAGTGACCTCCTGTTGCTGTTGCAATGAGCTCGTTTTATGTGACGGTAGTTCATCTTTCTAGTAAGTTGCTAATTGTCCTAGTGTCCTTTTTTGTCTTTTTGAAGATAAGGTGTCTTGCTCTGTCAGCCAGGCTGGTCCAGCCATGGCTCAGTGCAGCCTCGCCATCCTTGGCTCGAGTCTCAAGTGATTTTCCTGCTGCAGCTTCCCAAGTAGCTGGCACTATAGGTATGCACTACCACACCCAGCTAATTTTTGTAGCTCTTTTTTTTTTTTTTTGAGACACGGTCTCACTGTGTTGCCCCCAGGCTGGAATGGAGTGTTATGGTCACAGCTTACTGCAGCCTTGACCTCCTCTTGGCCTCGGCGTCTTAAAGTGCTGAGATTATAGGCATGACCCACTGTGCCTGGCTGTATATACAGATTTTTGACCGTAGAGGAGGAGAGGACAGAGCTCTAACCCCCATGCTGTTCAAGGGTCAGTTGCACTTTCTTCTCTCCATGTTCTGTAATCTTAAGTCCCTCTCAGCTGGGAGCAGGTAAAATTCTAAAACTATGGTATCCTAGGAACCTGGACACTCCAACAATAATGTTTTTATTTTATTTTTATTTTTAAATTCCCACCCCACAATAATGTTTTTAAAGTTGAAGAATTGAGATTTGGCTTGCTGGGAAGACCGTTGAATCTCTGGGGCCTTCATTAATAAAGAATTTTACTGGATTCAATTATTGTTGTCTCCAAAAATGTGGGTGCACCAAGTGTTTGGTGTGCACGGCCTCCCTCCGAATGAGTGTTAGAGGATCAAATAACGTTAGCTCAGTGTTTCAATGTTACAGACTTTGCATTAGAATGGTTTGTCGTCTGTTTCCCATTCTGTTTTGTGTCTCTAGATGTTTTGGATTTGTGCAGATAGTTTTTGAGATACTTTCCTAACGTAGCTTGAAGCTTCTGAGAGTGTCATTGTAATTGGTCTACTCCAGGTTATTGATGCTTCAGTTTTGTTTCCTGCTCTGTATTGTGAATGCTAACTTCTGTGTTTTCCAGTTTCCCTCCTTTCTTTTTGATACTGAAGTTTTATAATAAGGGCATTACTGTACTTGTAATTCCTTGAGGTTGAGAAATGTTTTGATTAGGAACGTTCTCTCTGCTTTCTGAATCTCAGTTTTATTGTGGTGTTTGTTCTGCCTCTGTACTCCTGAAACAATTCCTAATAAGTTTACAGGTGTCCTCTTAATTGTCAAATGCAGAGGTTTCTTCTTGGTCTGTGTTTGACTTCTCTGTTATATTTATTTATTTTTTATTTATTTTTCAGTTTTAAGTTTAGTGGTAGAAGTGCAGAGTTGTTACATACTCATTAGTTGTTTTTCTTGATCTTCTCCCTTGCTCCACCTTCCAAAAGGCCCTAGTGTGTGGTGTTCCCCTCTGTGTGTCCATTTGTTCTCATCATTTAGCTCCCACTTGTAAGTGAGAACATGTGGTAATTTGGTCTTCTGTTCCTGTGTTAGTTTGCTAAGGATAATAGCCTCCAGCTTCATTCATGTCCCTGTAAAGGACATGATCTCATTCTTTTTTTTTTTTAATTTTGTTATTTTTTGATCTCATTCTTTTTTCTGGCTGCATAGTATTCCATGGTGCATGTCTACCACGTTTTCTTTCTCCAGTCCATCATTGGCATTTAGGTTGATCCCATGTCTTCGCTATTGTTAATAGTGTTGCATCTGTTACATTTAATGCTGTTGGTCACTCATATATGTTAGCTTGACACCACTGTCTCTTCGTGCTCCAACTGTTATGTTTCTTCACTTCCTTTTTTCACTGCCATTCCTTCGATTTTTTTTCCATAGGATTCTTTTTATTTTTCGAGATGAAGTTTTGCCTTGTTGCCCAGGTTGGAGTGCAGTGGCTTGATCTCAGGTAGCTGAAACCTCCGCCTCCTGGGTTCAAGTGATTCTCTTGCCTCAGCCTCCCGAGTAGCTGGGATTACAGGCGTCTGCCACCATCCCTGGCTAATTTTTTGTGTTTTTAGTAGAGATAGAGTTTCACCATGTTGGCCAGACTGGTCTCAAACTCCTCAGGTGATCCACCCACCTCGGTCTCCCAATGTGCTGGGATTACATATGTGAGCCTCCATGCCCAGCCTTATTCAGATATTTAGTATTGTATCTTCTGATTTCCTTATCTTCCGTCTCACCTTCCCATTTTATATTTGTCTTTTTTTTCCCTTTTTTTTTTTTTTT